TACTCCCAACCTGACCCAAAGTCCTGTCAGTTGCAACAACAAATACAGATCTAATCCACCCTCTCTTCTCCATCATTACTATCACCACTCTCACCTGAGCAAGGATGGACACAACAGTCTTCTCTCTGGTTTCCTACTTTGACTTTTGTACCCCACCTAATCCAGAGATTTTCAACAGGTGTGCTGCAAGGATTTTTAAAACATGCAATACCTGACTATTTAGTCCGGAGCACTGACCTCTTTTCCCTTAGATTATCCAATTAAAAAAATGATAGCAGCCAACACAAAATAGCCATCCGGTGTGAATGAATCAAAATTATACCTTTTGCCCTAGCCGGTTTGGCTCGGTGGATAGAGCGTCGGCCTGCGGACTGAAGGGTCCCAGGTTCGATTCCTGTTAGGGGCATGTACCTTGGTTGCAGGCACATCCCCAGTAGAGGGTGTGCGGAAGGCAACTGATCGATGTTTCTCTCTCATCGATGTCTCTAACTCTCTATCCCTCTCCCTTCCTCTCTGTAAAAAATCAATAAAATATATATTTTTAAAAATTATACCTTTTATTTTCAGAATGGCCAAAAACATATATTTTGGTGTGCCACAGAATTTTAGCAGTTTGTGTGTGCCATGAGATGAAAATGGTTGAAAATCACTGCTCTAATCCATTAGTCAGACAACAGTCAGAATGACCATCTTACTTACGACCCTGAATATGTCACTCTCCTGCTTAAAACCACTCATCAACTTCCTACCTCATTTCAAATAAAATTTTAGTTCCCCTAGAGGAGTGGTCAGCAAACTGTGGCTCGGCAAACCGTGGTTCGCGAGCCACATGCGGTTCTTTGGCCCTTTGAGTGTGGCTCTTCCACAAAATACCGACTTCTGCACATAGGCCACGAAGTTCCAATTGCACTGTACGTGCGCGCCCGCACATGGTATTTTGTGGAAGAGCCACACTCAAGGGGCCAAAGAGCCGCATATGGCTCACAAGCCGTGTTTTGCCGACCACGGCCCTAGAGTTTACAAAATTTGGAAGCTTTTGGCCTCCTCTCTGTTCCTAGAACAGCCCAACTTCTTCCCCATTTTAGTGCCTTTCTCTTATTTTTCTGCTCTTGGCCTGAGTCTTCCTCACACTTCAGATCTCAGCTTAAATATCACCACTTTGTCTAGAGAGTAACTCTATTTATTCTCTAGCACCATAGTCTATTTCCATCATAGCAGTTACTGTTGATTATTTGTTGAACTAGTAATAGTAAGTACCACGAGGGCAAGGACAGCATCTGTCTTGTTCACCACGTTGTTCCCAGTGCCTTTAACAGTGCATAGCATCTAGTGTGCCCTCAATAAACATTCCGTCACCCTAGCCAGTTTGGCTCAGTGGATAGAGCGTCGGCCTGTGGACTGAAGGGTCCCGGGTTCAATTCTGGTCAAGGGCACATGCCTGGGTTGTGGGCTTGATCCCCAGTAGGGGGCATGCAGGAGGCAGCCAATCAATGATTCTCTCTCATCACTGATATTTCTATCTCTCTCTCCCTTCCTCTATGAAATCAATAAAATATATATTAAACAATAGCAACTAAGATGGCGGCATAGGTAAACACCGGGAAATTGTCGCCTCACACAACAATTGAAAATTACCACAAAGGACTGAGCAAACATCATCCAGAACAACAGGAAGGCTGGCTGAGTGTAAATTCTACAACTAGAAGGAAAGAAAAGCACGCTGAGAGCCAGAGGAGCTGCGGAGGTACAAGTGCAGAGGTACGGCGGTGCGCGCGCGCGAGGAAAGGGGGTGGCGCCTGAGGACGCGGCTGTCTTTTTGAGTCACAAACTCCCGACTGCTCTGAACTCCGGTTCCGGGAAGTCTCTGGGGACCCAGGTCTCATACGGGGAGAGGCTGGTCTGTCCGGCAGCGAGCGAACTTGAGGGCGGCTTTCCCTCTGAGGTGCTTGCAGCCGTTACCGGGACACTGAGACGCGCGATTCCGGGCGGAGAATCGGCCATGGCTGCTTTCTCCGCCCTTTGACTCCCTGAGACCCCGCCCCACCCAGGCTGCGGCAGAGGCTTTTGCATGTGAATGTACCTAACTGCAGCCGAACCAGGCAGACCCGGAACTTCTAAGAGAAGGCCCAAGGCCCCGCAGCGGCTTGCATTGCTTCACAGCTGAGCCTCTTCGTGGCTCCTGCTGTGTGGCCTCAGGCAGAGGCTGAATTAGCACCTCCTTAGATCCAGGAGCCACTGTACCCAGTGGTCAGAGGGGGTCCATCCAGACTGCAACTCCTCAGATCCATAAGGGACACACTTAGGGAGCAGACTCGGTGAGCACCAAAGCCCCACTGAAGCAAGTCTTGCCCCAGAAGGGTGTCTTCAGCACAGAAGTTCTCCCACTTTAGACACAGCTGATTCTCACAGCCAATTGGCCTGGAGGTCAATTCCTCCCAGTGATTCTACAACAACCAAGGCACCAAGAGTGCACCAAGAGTGTCCACCCCAGGTAACTGGGGAGGCTGAGCTACTGGGCCCTACAGGATACCTGGCGCACAGGGCCACTCTATCAACACAGGGAAGCTGCCAAAATGCAGAGACAAAGAAACAGGTCACAAATGGCAGAAATGGAGGAAAGCAAACGATTGGATATAGAGTTCAAGGCCACGTTTATAAGGTTTTTCAAGAATTTTATGGAAACCGCCGATAAATTTAATGAATCCCTCAATAAGTATAGTGAGACCATGGAGGACATGAAAAAGGACCAACTAGAAATTAAGCATACACTGACTGAAATAAAGAATAATTTACAGAGATCCAGCAGCAGAAAAGAGGATCCCAAGAATCAAGTCAAAGATTTGAAATACAAAGAAACAAAAAATACCCAACCGAAAAAGAAAAAAGAAAAGAGATTCCAAAAATATGAAGATAGTGTAAGGAACCTCTGGGACAACTTCAAGCGTACCAACATCAGAATTATAGGGGTACCAGAAGGAGAGAGAGGGCAAGATATTGAAAACCTTTTTGAAGAAATAATGACAGAAAACTTCCCCTACCTGGTGAAAGAAATGGACTTACAAGTCCAGGAAGCGCAGAGAACCCCAAACAAAAGGAATCCAAGGAGGACCACACCAAGACACATCATAATTAAAATGCCAAGAGCAAAAGATAAAGAGAGAATCTTAAAAGCAGCAAGAGAAAGACAGTCAGTTACCTACAAGGGAGTACCCATACGACTGTCAGCTGATTTCTCAACAGAAACCATGCAGGCCAGAAGAGACTGGCAAGAAATATTCAAAGTGATGAATAGCAAGAACCTGCAACCAAGATTACTTTATCCAGCAAAGCTATCATTCAGAATAGAAGGTCAGATAAAGAGCTTCACGGATAAGAAAAAGCTAAAGGAGTTCATCACCACCAAACCAGCATTATATGAAATGCTGAAAGGTATTCTTTAAGAAGAGGAAGAAGAAAAAGAAACTCTTACCATTTGCCACAGCATGGATGGAACTGGAGAGCGGATAAATACCACATGATCTCACTCATTTGTGGAATATAATGAACAACATAAGCTGATGAACAAGGACTGATCCAGAGACGGAGAGGCATTGATTGGACTGTCGGGACTTGGAGGGAAGGTAGGGGAGGGTGGGGGTAAGGGGGAAAGATCAACCAAAGGACTTATATGCAAGCATATAGGCCTAATCAATGGACATGGACAACGGGGGGGTGAGGGCATGAGCGGGGGTGGGGGGGTGGGGGGTAGAGGGTAACGTGGGGACAAGGACACATATGTAATATCTTAATCAATAAAAAATATATTAAAATATATATATATATATATATATATATATATATTAAACAAACAAAACAAATACCATCAATAAGAGGGACTAGCAAGGTGTTCCTGAAACTTCTGAAAATAAAAATTATTTTAAGATTTTCACTTCTTGCCCTAGCCAGTTTGGCTCAGTGGATAGAGTGTCAGCCTGTGGACCGAAGGGTCCCGGGTTCAATTCCAGTCAAGGGCACGCACTTCAGTTGCAGGCTCCTGACTCTGGTCAGGACCATGTGGGAGGCAACCAATCTATGTGTCTCTCTAACATCGGTGTTTGTCTCTCCCTCTCCCTTCCATTCTTTCTAAGAATCAATGGAAAAAATTTCCCTGAGTGAGGATTAAAAAAAAAAGTAAAAAAAATAAATAAATAAAAAAGACTTTCACTTCTTAATTCATTGAATTATATATGAAACTTTAGAATTCTTCTTGCTAAAAATTGAGATATGAAGCATCAAAAGAATGCATAATTCTGTTTTGTCAACTAGACTTTGGAATAAATAAATGATCAATTCAAACACATTATTTAATAATTACTAAAAAGTAGCTATTTATAAAGAAAATAATGGTTACTTAATACTAGTCTCTTGTTGTGTTGATTTTATAGCAGCTAAACGTTTCAGAGTACCCAGGGCTCTTATGCAGTGGGCTAAAAACTCAACTCGTTCAATCAAAACTACTCCTGCCTGCAGTTTAGACCAGCCTACGGCTAAAAAGAGCTTCAGAGGGATCTTGTGAACCACTCTTTCTCTTGAGAATGCTAATGTCAACAAACCATACTCACTTAAAAAAAGGGAATTATTTAAATGGAAATAATCCATTCCCACAAAACAGAACTACAAGAACTAGGGATGTGTGAGATGATACATGTTAACTTAAACTTATTGTGGTAACCATGTAAGTCAAATCATTTTGCTGTACACCATAGCATATACAGTGATATGTCAATATATCTCAATAAAACTGGGAAAAATAATGTATTACAATCCATCAAAAGCAAATAAAAATCATGAAATCTCCCATTTCTCACCCCCCCACCAAAAAAAAAAAAAAAAAAAAAAGGAAAGAAAGGAAGAAAGGAAGAGGAATGTAGATGTAGAGCCAAAGGGATTCTCATAGGCTGCTGCTAGGAAGATATATTGACAACCACTTTGGGGAATATGACAAGATAATGATTTCTTACTTGACTGCCTCGTAAATATTGTTAGAAGTATGTCCTGACAAGGCATCATGTAAGTTGCGTATAAAATAATCTCTGTATTCTTCAGGAAGGGCCATAAATGTTCCACCCATCACAATAAACTCCACTTTATCCACACTGTGACCAAGCTGTTTCAACTGAAAGACATAAATTAATCAACATTGAAAGGATACAATCATTACCCTAAGAGAGTACTGCAAATTTCTAATTTTATTTTGCAGTGTTTTCATCAGTATAGTTTAAAAATGAGAAGCAATTAAACATACTTAAGTTCTGTGGATTAAAAAAAGAGACTCCAGATTCTGAAATAAAAAAAATAGTAAAGCTCAAATAAGGAGGGAGAGTGAGACTATCTCAGTGATGGCGAACCTGTGACACGTGTGTCAGAGGTGACACACGAACTCATTTTTTTGGTTGATTTTTCTTTGTTAAATGGCATTTAAATATATAAAATAAGTATCAAAAATATAAGTCTTTGTTTTACTATGGTTGCAAATATCAAAAAAGTTCTATATGTGACAGGGCACCAGAGTTAAGTTAGGGTTTTTCTTTTTTTTTTTTTTTAAATATATTTTATTGATTTTTTACAGAGAGGAAGGGAGAGAGATAGAGAGCTAGAAACATTGATGAGAGAGAAACATCGATCAGCTGCGTCCTGCACATCCCCCACAGGGGATGTGCGCGCAACCCAGGTACATGCCCTTGACCGGAATCGAACCCGGGACCTTTCAGTCCGCAGGCCGACGCTCCATCCACTAAGCCAAACCGGTTTCGGCAAGTTAGGGTTTTTCAAAATGCTGACACGCCGAGCTCAAAATGTTCGCCATCACTGCTCTATCTATATAATAGAGGAATATGCAAATTAGCCAGGATGCCATAACATCACAACCAAACAGCAGGGACCTGAGGCTGCATGGCCCCTGACCAGGGCGAGGGACCTCAGGCCGTGCCCCCCACCCCAGTACTGGGCCGGGGGACCTCAGGCTGTGCCCCCTGCCCAGAGGGGCTTGACGGGGCTGGGGCTGGCCAGGTCTGGGTCTCACCCAATGGGGGTGGGGCTGGCCGGGTGTGGGTCTTCTGCGTTTTTGAAGCACGTGCGGGTGGTGGGCGGAGACTTGACTCTAGGTCCCGTGGTGCACCCCAGACTGACAGGAGGGAGAGTTTCATACACATTTTACTAATTTTCTTTCATGTCTGACACTTCTATTATAAAGGGCAAATAGCAATATTAAAATATTTCCCCTAATTAATTCCATTTTAATGTGCACAGATTTCATGTGCTGGGCCACTAGTTAAAAATAATAAACAAGAAGCTTGATGTTAATACCTACAGAGTTGAGTGGAATTTTAAAAACACATAGAATATAAACTAGAAAGCAGTAAAGGCAAATATAAGCAACTATGTATTAATCATGTATTTTATGCCAGACTCTGTGGTGAGCCTTGGGGACAAAGGAGATCATTCATGCAGCATAATCAGGACTTGATGCAAATGAAAGAAAAAGAACACTATATTAAAAACAGAAATTAAGAAAGCAGTTGTAAATTAAAACTTTAAAGTTTTAAATCAATTGTGAGGATTCTGGACATAGGTGGAACCTCAAGCCTGCTTTCCGGGAGGAAAATAAAAATCTGATTGATAAAATATGAAGTATAATGCCTCTACTATCAGAGATGTAAATGGTACAGATCTTAGATTTTATCAACCACAATAAGCCAAGATTCTACTTTTCAAAAACAGGTATTTAAATTTCTTGCCATACCTTAGGCTTGAAAAAAACGATTAAGTTGCTACCAAGTTATGAACTCAAATGAATGTACTATGTAAAGGATGTGTATACTTAATATTTGTTTCTTAAAATGGCAAATAATTTATACATATATACATCTTTATGTATATATACATATTTACATATCCATATGTATAAATATATCATATGCATATATATTTTAAAAAAATATATATAAGTATGTTTATATATGTGTATATAAATCAAGACTAAAAGAATATTCTATATGTCTATGGTTTGCAAGGGATACACAACAAAATCATCCTGGTATATTTTTCAGAGTATCTTGGCAGGACCCCAAACCAGGCGTAAGGAGAACATCCAGAGGTAAAGATCTGGCTCATGTTTTGGAAAAGCTGTGATGATTCTAGTAATTTATAGTTAAAAAAAAAAAAAATAACCACTGCTCTATGGTAGTTCTAAATCTTTTAAAATCCATGCTCTTTTTGGTAAACAAAAACATTTTACACAGTATTAAAACATTTTAAATAAATTAAACATAAATATCATGGCTAAAAAAGGAAATCCAAGCAATGGTCAGTTTAGAACATGCTGTTCCAAACTACGCAGGCTCCCTGCCCCCAGTGGGGTCCTCTCCTGTAGCTGACCATCCTGATCCACACATGCTTGGGTGACAGTGAAGAGAAAATCAGAACCGGACGGTCTTCACTAATAGTGCCCGTTAGATAAACACAGAGTGACTTGCTGTGGTACATATTACAGTTGAGATTTTGTGGTTGCCCTACTAGATGTTACGATGACTACTGCACACAGTGTTCACATATTTTTTAATTGGACAAGTTTAAAATTGTAAAATCTGTAAAAATAAAACTGTATTAATGTTCAGATTTCTTGAACAAAGTTCTTGTTTTCAATCAGCTATACTGAGGTATAATTTGCATACAATCAGCTGTCTGAGGTATAATTTACATACAATTAATTTTAAGGATAACTTGTATGAGTTTGGATAAATGTTTGGAGTTGTATAACCACCATGACAGTCACGATACAGGATGATTCCACAGCCCCTGAGTGTTCCTCACATCCCTTTGCAGTCAATTCCCCATTCCTGCTCCTCCAAACAGCACAAAACTCATGTGGCCTAGGAAAGCTAAACTTCAGTCCATCCACCTACTGCCTAAGTGTTTCCACACATCTACATCCTGTAAATTTCATACCATAAATGACTTCCTACAAACTGAAATCTATAGAATACAAAACATTTAAAGAAAACAACAGTCTCTAAAGGAAGTGATAGTTCTGATCTTTCTAGGTATTGCAAAATAGTCTCCCTCCCTCAGATGGATAGTAAAAACTTACAATGGGGAAAAATACTCTTTGAGGGCTTATTTCAGGTACAACTCAAATCAAGAAATAATACCTCTAAGTATAAAAATCTAATTTAAAACTGCTTTTTAGAAACTTACCTGCTCTATGCGGTGTCTTGTCTGTAGATAAGGGTCGTATCTAGCACGAATAGCTCGCATGGAGGTTGGCTGAGAAAAAAAAAAAGAGAAAAAGATTCTGTTATGCCCACACTAAATTAAAAATAAAAAGCGGTTTCAAAGGGTGTATTAAAAATAAATTCTCCTGTGCTCCTTTCTTCCTTTCTCAGTCTTCAAAACAATGTCCTGTAGCAGCTGGCTAGTCTCCGCCCCACTGTCATGAGTATCTGAACAGCAGGGCGTCTTCTTAGATCATATTTATCTTTGTATCAGCACTTACGGAAACAACACAAATTGTTGTACTACTCACAGACATAGATGTGCATACATATTCAAAAGAGTTATTTGGTAAAATAACCTTTAAATAATGGCTTAACAAAAAAGCCTTTATGTTTTTATACAATGGAATATTCTCAACCAAGAAACAACATACTAATATGTTTTCTAAAATATATTGCCAAATGAAAAAGGCAAGGTGCAAGGTTTTGATACAGTAGCTTATATGTAAAAAAGTAGGATAAAGAATAACTATGTGCTTATATATCCATATAATATCTTTAAAGGATATACAGGAAAGATAATACTGGTTGCTGGGAGTGGAGGGGGCTGGAGCAGAAACGGACAAGTAGGGGACAAGAGGAACGAGGAACCTTTTCATTGAATAATTCCTTTTGTATTTTCAAAAATCTGAACTATGAAAGACAGGTAAAAAATTTAAAAAAACATACTAGTGTATATATATATACACATGTATATATATGTGTATGTATATGTGTATATATATGTATATGTGTATGTGTATATGTATATGTATATGTATAGATGAAGAAAGGCACATAGTTAGCTGGCTACTGACCTCTCTGAAGAGGCTGACTGCTTCAAAAGCCTGCTCACTGGTCTCCTCTTTCACTCTTGCCCCCACTCTAATCCTTTGTTACCATCAAATGATCTTTTAAAAAACTATATTGGATTATATCATTCCTTTAAATCTTTTTTATTATTGCTAATCCTCATTGGAGGATATTTTTTTCCATTGATTCTTTGAGAGAGAGGAAGAAAGGGGGGTGGGGGGAGAGAGAGAGAGAGACAGAGAGAAACATCAATGTGTTTCACCCTCGACTGGGCCAGAATTGAACCTACAACTCAGGTTCGTGCCCTTGACCGGGAATTGAACTAGAACCCAAGAACTTCGGTAAACAGGCCAAATGCTCTAACCACTTAGCCACGCCAATTAGGGCGATTCCTTTAAATCTTAATGACTTCTCATGTCACCTATAATAAAATCCAAACTCCTTGCCCTGGCTTACAAGTCACTATGATATGTCTCTCCAAACTCATTCTTCCTTTTACCCTCTATGCTCCAGAACATCCCACCGTCATTCCTAACATGGCTCCTTGTTCTAGCTATTCTCTGCTGGAAATGCTCGTTGCTGGAAAGGCCCCTTTCTGTCATCAGGACTCAGTTAAAACATCACCTCCTCAGAGAATCCCTTCCTAACACCACAGCTAAATTACCACCCGGCGATAACTTACAATTTCACTTCTCTATTTAGCATTTACTAGTACCTGACATTTTTTTCTTGTTTGTTTCTTTATTGTCTCTCTCCCACTATTAGAATGTAAAATCCACAAGACAAGGGACCTTGTCAGTTTTTCCACTGCTGCACACACAGGTAGTACAATGTAGTGGTGAGAAACACAGAATTCAAAGCCTGGCTCTGTCACTGACTCACAGTGAGTCTTTGAGCCCGTTGTTTAAGGCTTGTGTTTCCTTATCCATAAAACCAGGATAATAGTAGCATCTACCTTCAAAATGCTGCTGGTAAGATTTAAAGTCATAAAATGCTTATCTGACATATATTAATAATAAATGCTTCCATAAGTATTTCTCCAATGACTAGAAAAATATATGTAGTCAGGAAAAAACTACCTTTGTAATCAGGAAAAAATAAAAATTTTAAGACAGCTAGTACTTGTAAAAGCACACACAGGCAAAGTATGATGTAACATTTCCTCAGGACAGGCTCACATTAGTTTACCTCATATCCAGTGTAAGACTGGGTTGAATACTCAAAATCTGAATCAGGTCCCCCAGGGCAGTATCTGCCAATAAAATAGAAGAATGAAGATGTCAGATACAAAACGTAGTTCAACAGTCGAGTTCAAATATTGCTGTCTCCATAAAATCCAGGTAACAAATTTCACTTTCAAATCCTAAGAGAAAAGTCTACCTTTGCAGTGTCTATAAATAATATTTTCTACTAACAAGTAAACGAGTTGAACATATAAGGGAACAATATTACAATCATTTTCAGAATTCTGCCATCACTATTATTTTAAAGATTTAAGATTTTAGGGGCAAATAACAGGACCTAAGTTTTCCTAACTTTGGGCTGATATTCAGAGTGCTCTCTTAGTAGCTACACTTAAGAATATCACTCACCTATTTAATCTTTCTACTTGGAATCATGCATATTCTTCCGCTATTTTTTCCAATTATCTAGATTTCAAAAGTTTAAAGGTTATTTATAAAAATAACTTTATTTTTATACTTTTCTGACCCAAATTCATTTAAAATTTCTGACATTTGGAATTTCCATGTTTCATTTATTGCACTAACAGAACTGTTTACTGAAATTAACAGAATTTATACTGTTCTGAGTTCTATAACCTATGTATTTTTTATTGCATATTGTAACAAATTAAAATCTTTGTTTCATTTTTAAAACAAAATATCCTATCAATGGTTGCTGTTTCAAAGAACTAACTTATGAATCTATTAAATCAAAGTTTTAAATATTATCAGCATGCACTGGTTAAGGCTCTAGGGGATGTATTAATTGAATTAAAATATATACACACACAACTTATCAAAATCATCATACTTACACACAAATATTTCCTGTAAAACTAATGTGTGGACATCTGTGGGGTTTGCACATCACAGCTACAACAGCAATCTATAAAATAAAGGTTAATATAAAACTATTATGAAAGAATTGACAGAAAATCCTGGAGCGAGACTGTATCTCAGAAAAAGGGAGCGGAATGGAACCAGAGAGGCACGCGGGCTTCAAAGGTGTTGGTAATGCTGTATTTCTGAAGCTGAGCAGTGGGTACAGGGTGATCTCTTTTCAACGTTGTCTGAAAAAAACACTGATCTCTCTAAAATGCACATATGCATTGTATATACTAGCTTGTTTTAGACTTTACAATAATTAAGTAAAAAATAAGAAATAACTTTTAAAGTCACAGTGATTCTTCTTCTCTCTGATTTGTTTTACTAAAATAGCCTAGGAGAAAAAAACGACTTTATGCAATTCTACACAATTACATCTAAAGTCCTTGTGGACACACTAGATCTCAATATTTAGAGCAGAGACAATTAAACTAGGAGCTAGACTGCACAGTGTGTGCAAAATATTCTCAGAGGGGTCTTTCAGAGCCCAAGTTGGGTGAGTGAAGAGAGTAAAGCTTGAGAAAGAAGGGGATGGTGGAAATAGGAGGCTGGTTACATATAGGAGTGGTTACTCAAATAAAGGCACACACTAAGGTGAACGCAAGCCAGGTTTCTTACTGTCAGAGAAGAAAGTTATAAATATGGAAAGGGAGAGAACTAAAATGAACTCTGTGTCCTGGATAGAATTGAAGGTACTATTGTGAACTCATAGTTTTCAACAGACTGATATACAAATAAATATGGAAGCAAATGTGTTATGTACATGTGTGTGCATGTATGTATGTATGCATGCATATATATTTCCTAGCTTGATCCACTGACAGGGTCTGGGAGCAGCAACACCCTAATAGCATACCTAGCGCTCATATCTTGGCCTCTCAATGCCCTTCTCTACTAAAAGGAACCAGGACTCCTGAGAGAAAAGGCTGATTCCAGAACCCGGGCAAAGAAAGTACAAGAGGAGCCTGAAACATTTTATTATGACAGAAAGCTAAAAACTGCTCAAAGAATGATGGGAACATTTTTTTTTTTAAAGACAGAAATCAAGTTGAAAGGGCTCCCACTGGTCAAACCTGGGATAATTTGTGCATCAAAATAAATAATGATTATAACCCACCTAATAAGAAACCATGAATCCACTCATACAAATCTATAATAAAAGCATAATATGGTAATTAGACCGGACATCCTTCCTTCTGGACAAAGCCCCGGCAGGCAGGGCCAAGGCAGAGGTGGCCACTGCGGTGACGGCAGCGGGGACCAAGGTCCTTGCATGAATTTTTGTGCATCGGGCCTCTAGTATATGAATAAGTAAATTGGAAGTCTGATGAGGAACAGGAGGATATTTACATAATATTTACAAAAATACTTTACCGCACTAAACTTCTTAATTACAAAGTGGAAAAGAATAACTCTACAGAGGAGAAGCGTGGCAGACATATGACAAAACAAAATGAAATTATACCCCCCTGATGGGATGCAGTAATAGAAAATCACTTCTGTTAATGCTCCTGCCAAAGACATATGACCTGAATCAAATTATGAAAAAACATCTGATTAAACCAAATTGAGGAACATGCTACAGAATAACTTGCCTGACATCCTCAAGTGTTAAAGTAACGAAATCAAAGAAATACAGCAGTGTCCAGACGGAAGAGACATGACAACTAAATGCAACATGTAATTCTGAACTGGGTCCTGTAGGTCATTCTTGAAACAGCTGGTGAGACTCGAATGAGGTCTGAGGATTAGACATCAGTCATGTATCAGTGTTAAATTCCTGACTTGGATGGCTGTATTGCAGCAATGTACAAAAATGTCCTAACTTGTAGAAAATATGCACTAAAGTATTCAAAGGCTTGAGTTTCACAACTTACTCTTAAATGGCTGGGGGAGGAGAGGAATGTTCTTTGTACTGGACTTTGGACTTTTCTGTAAGTTTGTGATTATTTTTCATAATAAAAATTATTAAAATTTAATGTAAAACATTCAATTATGATCTCTAGGGCAGTGGTTCTCAACCTTGGCTGCACATGAGAATCACCTGGGAATCTTTTTAAAATTCTGATTTCTGGGCCTCATCCTCCGGAAATTCTGTTTCTTTGTTATGGGGTGGGGCCACAACATTAGTAACAAAGAAACAGAATTTCCGGAGGATGAGGCCCAGAAATCAGGATTTTAAAAAGATTCCCAGGTGATTCTAACGAGCAGCCAAGGTTGAGAAGCTCTGCTCTAGAGAAACATCAAAATACATAAATATTCTTATCTGTTTGCAAAACTAATTGTTTCAAACAAATGTTTTTATTTAAAAGGAGACACAACCATATATATACCACTGATGAGGCCAACCTGATTTAGCACTGTTTTACCGAGAGCCTCCATAGACAGGCCATGTTCGAGCCACACAGAGTGGGGGGGCGGGGAGGGCCTGACTACAAAAATATGAACACACTGCCTCCGTCCTCTAAATTCGTACCTAGCAGAACTGCCTTAGGCATACAGAAATAGGTTATTTCAAAACCACATGCATGTAGAAAACCCTGGGAATGCAGAAAATCCTGGGAATGCCGAAAGGAGGGAATTAATTAGCCCTGACCAGGGGAGTCAGGAAAGCCTTCCCGGAGGGGCTAAGAACCGTGCTGAGTAAGAGTTAACTGAGCTAACAAGGTGTAGGGCCAGGGAAGCAATATGCAGTAGTTTCCAAACATTTTTAAAGCAGCCGAACTCTTGTTTCGTAACGTTTTACTTAAAACCCCAATTTATAAGATTAAAAGCAGTAGCCCTGGATGAAGTAGAGATGAGACCTGCTCCCACGGCTTCCCTATACTATTCTCCTTAGCAGCTCCTAAAAAACTCTAAGGAATCCTGTAGTTTTGTTGAATACTGCTTAAAATTTACTGATAAAGTAGAAAAAACAATGACTTTGGGGTCAGCCAGAGGTGTAGGTCTGAATCTTTCCTCTGCCTCTTGCTGTGCATTTTCCTATTTTGGAAAATGAAGACATTACTACCTATCCCTCAAAACTGTTTTGAGGATTAAATTAGAAAACATACCGGCACAGTGGCTGGTATGTAACAGGTGGGCAACATGTGGTAGCTATAGTTGTAATAGTGACACTAAGAATAACAACGAACATGGTGTTCTAAGCAAACCAAGCAGACAAAAACTCTTAAATACAAACTCAAAATGGATCACTGACCTAAACGTAAAATGCAAAACTATGAAACTTTTTGAAGATAACTAGGTGACCTTCAGTTTTGCCATGAGTTTTTACATACAACATCAAAAGCACAATCCATGAAAGAAAAATTGGTAAGTTGAACTACATTAAAATTTGAAAGTCCTGCTCTGAGAAAGATACTGTTAAGAGAATGAAAAGACAAGCCACAGACTAGAAGAAAACATTTGTTAAACACCTCTCTGATAAGAGACGTGTTCCTTAAATAGACAAAGAACTCTTACAACTTCACAATAAGAAAAACAAATAACCCTTTTAGGAATAGGGCAAAAGATCTGAACAGACACCCCAACAAAGACGACATGCAGATAGCAAATAAGTATATGAAAAGATATTCAACATCGGATGGCATTCAGGAATTGCAAATTGAAACAACAATGAGGCACCACTGCACACACATATTAGGATGGCCCAAATCCCAAACACTGACTGCTGGCAGGCATGTGGATCAACAGGAAGTCTCATTCACTGTTGATGAAAAATGCAAAATGGTACAGCCACTTTGGAAGACAGTTTGACAGTTTCTTACGAAGCTAAACATAGTCTTACCACGTGATCCAGTAATCATAAATGAATTGAAAACTTAGGAGTACACAAAAACCTTCACACAGATGTTTACAGCTTTGTTCACAATTGCCAAAAACTGGAAGCAACCGAGATGCCCTTCAATAGGTGAGTGGATAAATAAACTGTGGTACATCCAGTGGAATATTATTAAGCACAAAAACAAATGAACTATCAAGCCACTGAAAAGACAACCTTATATGCATCTTGCTAAATGAAAGAAGCCAATCTGAAAAGGCCACAGACTGATTCCAACTATATGACATTCTGGAAAGGGCAAAGGTATGGAGACAGTAAACAGATCAGTGGTTGCCAGAGGTTTGCAGCAGAGGAAAGGATAAACAGGGGAGTTTTAAGGCAGTGAAACTATGCTATATGATCCAGCTAATAGTGAATACATGACATTACACATTTGGTAAAACCCATGTACAACACTTTGAGGGACCCTAATGTAAAAACTGTAAGCTTCAGTTAATAATAGTGTGAAAAGAACTTGTTGGAGAAAGTCGCACTAATAAAATCCACTCGATTGAGAAGGCAAATCATTCCATGGCAATGAAAGGACGGTCAACGAATGATGTTTTCAAAGAAATAAATACACAAATTTTGTTTTGGATTCAGGAAATCACTGAAAGGGGCAAGAAATAATTGTCTTTAGTTAAAAGCCATGTTATTTTGAATACAAATACAGTTAATTTGATAAAGAACAGCATAACTCTCAGCATTATGAGGTATATTTTCAACTAAATGTTCCCCCATTTATAAAACATGTTTTAATTGTGAAATTGATGTATTTTACAAAATGTGTTTTGAAAGCATAGTTCTATAAAGATGATGCACAAGTGTTGAAGATGGTCTAAATATAATTTATTTGTATTAATATAGTTAAGTTTGAAAAAATTAAACATTTGAATTTTGTTACAGTGAAGAAGAAAAAATGAATTGTAACAAATGCTCCAAACCAATGCCAGGTATTCATAATAGGGCAACCTGGGGAGAAGGGAAAGGAAGTATATGAAAACTCTGAACTTTCTGTTCAATTTTTCTGTAACCTGAAGACTGCTCTCTAAAAAATACACACACACAAAAAACAAAGAACCACCAGAGTAACAGCAGACATAAAAGCATGGAGGTCAGGATGCAGAGCACATAGAAATCAGCTGTGTACTTCTGATATTTTTAATAGATTACTCTGGTGACATTGCAGAATACATCTGGCGCAGGCAAGACAAAGTAGACAGGTTAAGAAATGACTGAAATAATCTAAACAAGAAATAAAACATTCCTACCAGCGGTGATAGGAATGAACAATGCATTTCATTCCTGGGGAGAAGGGAAAGGAAGCAGATGAAACTGAGTGAAGCGGGGCACTAGAAACTAAGATGGACAAGAAAGATGGATGAGCACATACATCTGAGGTTAGTTTGGGTTATGATACACTTGAGGGTCAACATGGAGTCAAGGAGAGATGTCTAACAGGCCATCTGAAATGAGCCTGAAGCTTGGGGAGAGGTTGGAGCAGGGAGTAAGTAGTATATGGCTATACTTAAAATGTGAATGAATGAGATCACCAAAGAAAGCAAGTACAGCATAAATACAGTGGGCCTAGGACCACAGGAAACATCAATTTTTAGAGGCAAGCAGAACAAGAGTAGCCCTCAAAGAAAGAAAAGAAATGATCAGAGCAGCAGATAGAATGGTGTCATAAAGCCAAGTATATCAGGTTGAAAGGTTGCTCAATCTTTGTCTTCCACAGTGTCAAGCTCATAAACCATGGCAAAACCAAAAATTCAAGACTTATCTATAAAGCATATTATTGGGATAAGGAAGTAAATACTAAGAAATCCGCTAAGAGTTAAAAGTGGTTGCCCTTGGGGGAAAGAGGAAAAAGTGAGAGATTTGGAAATACTGGTTTTTCTTAAAGAGCCTTTACCTAGATACAAACAAACAAAACAAAAACACTTAAGTACAAGGGAGAAGAGACCAGGATTGGTGTACACTTCATGTAGAAGTTTTGGGGTTTAATTAGCCATACATGTAATATAATCCAGGATATACAGCCACCAAAGAAGTCAATGCAAGTTTCAATTACTAGAAATATAATATCCTCATTCAAATAACAGACTGAACTTCTTTTTTTGTTAATCCTCACCGAAGGGTATTTTTCCATTGATTTTAGAGAGAGTGGAAGGGACTGGGAGAGACAGAGAGAGAAACCTCAACTGGTTGCTTCCGGCAGCTGGGGCCGAGAATTGAGTCTGCCTGCAATCGAGGTACATGCCGCCACTGGAATCGAACCAGTGACCTTCAGTCCTCAGGCCAATGCTCTACCCACTGAGCCACACCAGGTAGGGCCAGACTGAACTTCTTAGATTACATTAGGAACAGAGAATTCAATTTGGGTACCATATTTTAAGAGGGTCCAAATCCTATCTCCCCCACCCAACCTTTTTATCCTAGAGCTCCTACCCTAATTCAGGCTCTTAACACCTCACACCTAGGTAAAGCCAAGAGTATCTTAACAAGTTTGTTTTGTTTTTCGTTCGTTTGTTTTTCTCCAAACTACCCTACATCTTGTATCCAAAGTAACTTTCTGAAAATTTATTTTGTTCATATCACTCCCTTTCTCAAAAACGTTAAACAGTTTCCTATTGTCCAATTTCTCTGTGGGACATTTAAGAACTTTTACAAGCTGATCCCAAACTAACTTTGTAATCCAATGTCCTGAGGCTTTCCCAAACGAACGATCAATTCCCCGCAGTCTGGCATCCTCACTGTTCCCTGCACACACTTCTATCATCTCTATCTCTGCACCTCAGTTCCCTGTGCCCTTGCTCCCATTCTGTTCGAGCCTGCTCCTTCTGCTTACATGAGCATCGTTTATGTCAAGCAAGCGCCACACATTTTTTTAAAATATATTTTTACTGATTTTAGAGAGGAAGGGAGAGGGAGAGAGAGATAGAAACATCAATGATAAGAGGGAATCATTGACTGGCTGCCTCCTGCAAGCCCCTTACTGGGGATCAAGCCCACAACCCTGGCATGTGCCTTGACCGAAATCAAACCTGGGACCCTTTAGTGCGCAGGCCGACGCTCTATCCACTGAGCCCAACCAGCTAGGGCTCAGCTCCACACTTTCTACTCAGCTTTCTTAGTCCCTTTTACTGCAAGGATGTCTCTGTCTGTCTTCTGGACTCCCACTGCATTTCCTACTGTGTCAGTCTCTTCAGAGTCACCATGTATAGCATGACTGCACCACTAATTACCTTTTAAAATTACCTTTTATAAATATCAATTATTTTGAGAGCCATAAGCTTAATATGGAGGCCAACAATATCTATCACACTGTGAAAATCACCAAGCCTCGATCTATACCTTTAAAGACACCAAAACATCATTTACTCCTTTAAGCCCAGTGAATTCTTTCCCTTTCAAGGCCCTCCTAGCATTCTGTACTCATGTTCCACTCCACATATATCATAATACACAGGTTATATCAGTTTAAATTCCCCATCTCTACCTCACTACCTGGGCATTACATAGAGGCAGGAATTTCTGGCAGGACAGATACACAATCAGTATTACATGAATTGAAGTACTCACCCCACTGGCAGTTCTGATGGGTTTTGCCTTTAACTTGGGGACCAAAACCTTTCGATACTGCGGTGGGACTGCAGCAATGATATCCACCAGGCGAGGCTGTGCTGAAAGGCCATATTTGGCAGCTGTCTTGGTTTTCACCCTGAAAGTAAAACATCTAGCATTATCAAGATCACAGCATTTCAAAGAAACGCTACCAAAAGAAATGACCTGTAAATAATATCATCAACTCCTCCTCTACCCTTTCATCAGATGACAGCAGTGGCTTTAACGGCTGTAAATATCAGGGGCCCGGGACAGTGACACCATGTAAGTCTCATTCAAATGGTGCTCCAGCTTCAAAGGGTTCCGTCTTTTCTCAGCCTCGGCACTGCTGCATTTGGAATCAGATTAATTCTGTCGTGGGGTGTGTAGCAGCATCATTAGCCTCTACTCACTAGCACTCCTCTTCCTGTTGTAACAACCAAAAATGTCTCCAGATATTGCCAGATGTCCATTGGGAGGAGTGAGGGGAACCACACCTGGCTGCAAACAACCGTCTTAGATCAAACAAACAAAAAGCAAAAGAAAGCTACACAAAAGTATACAAAGGATTGTATACATAAAAACAGAACATAAAACATACAGACTTTTACAATTATAAGGCAATCACTTGCGTAACCACACTTTAAGAAATAGAATATAAGAACTTCAGAATACCCGTTTGCCCCTTCCCGATTATAACCCTACTGTCACCCTCAGGAGTAACTTTATCCCAACTAATAATCCCTTACTCGTCTCTATAATTTTACCAACTTTTCTTTTTCCGTTAGCCAAACCCTAACAGTCACGTTAACTTCTAATTTTAAACCCACCTAGAAATATTGAGGTGTTTGCATCATTTTCTACAAATGTTAACTGAGTGCATGGAATGTCCAAAGACTACAGAAGTACTTGGTATGTCAGGAGGTATAAGGCATAGTCATTTCATGCTCTATGTTTGCAGATAGGCATGAACAAAAATAAATGTGTGTGATAAAACACACACACACACACACACACACACACACACACACACACACACACACCAATGAGTACTTCCAGCATTCAAGAGAGTAACTCAATGTATGCTGGGGAGATATTCAGAGAAAATGGGCCCAGAAAAAAGAACAGACTTCAGACATGCAGTGAAAACAGAAAGATGACACGAGAGCAAATAGGATGGCTTATTCAGTGGTTCTCAATCTTCTGGCCCTTTAAATACAATTCATGTTGTGACCCAACCATAAAATTATTTTCGTTGCTACTTCATAACTGTAATGTTGCTACTGTTATGAATCATAATGTAAGAATGGTCTTCGGCAACCCCTGTGAAAGGGCCGTTCGACCAACCCACAGGTTGGCTTATGTGAAGACGCAAAAACAAATATACACATATTTTAAGAAATATGGGTAGACCAACTTAATAGAAAGCAAAAGGTTATCAATGTAAAAGTGCAGAAATTTAAAAAGCTGGAAAAGTGGATTGAAGCCAGACTGAGTGGCCTTACATAATGGGCTGAGGAATCTGCATTTAACTCCATAAGCAACTGGGGACATGCTGAAGCTCCTGCACAGGGAAACGACATGATGACAGATGAGACCCTAATTGGACCCAAGGAAAATGATTCAAAGGTAACACTAGTTTCACTAGTGGGTGAAGGTTAACACAACTAATCAAAGACGACATCTGAGTAGGAACTGATTTTAAGGAGAAGCTAGCTTTAGCTTTAGATGTCTAAATAAAAGAGAATGATAAAAATTTATAGTAAGTAGAAATGCTCACTAGAAATAAAAGAGCTGTATAATTGGTAGTATAGCCAACAAGGACAGAAAAAAACCTGCCAAAGACATGGTAGAAAAAAGATTAAAATGTAATGTCTTGCCCTGGCTGGTGTGGCTCAGTTGGTTGGAGCATTGTCCCATACACTGAAAGACTGAGGTTTTGAGTCCCAGTCAGGGTACATACCTAGGTTGTGGGTTCAGTCCCTGGTTGGGGCTCATGCAAGAGGCAACCTTTCCATATTTCTTTCTCTCCCTCTCCTCCTACCTCTCTCTAAAATCAATAAACATATCCTTAGGTAAGGATCATAGATAAGTTAAATAAATAAATAAAATGTCTTCCTAGTCAAAAAAGGATAGTTATTCCTTTAGCAAATGTTTATTAAATAAGCACAATGTTCCAAGGAAGGGGTAAAACATTACAGTATCTCAACTAACAGAGAATAGGATCTTAAGAAAGGTCATGCATTTGGTGAGAAAGAACCCATATTTCCACATCCCAGCTCTGCCAATCACAGCCATTTATTTTTAGACAAATTATTTAACCTTTCTGTATCAGATTACCCATCTATCAAATGATGTAAGTACCTACCTCATACAGTTTCTGAAAGGATCAACTGAGCTAATATATACAATGCACTACTAACACTGACTGGGACATAGTAAGTGCCCAATAAATGTTAGAAGTTATTAGTATTATTAGTTATGGGACAATTTTGCCATGAGTAGCTGGGCAGGGCAGAAAAGCTAAATTCTCGAGTAAAAAATAAAGCATGAGATAGGAAACAAGTAGAATTTGATAATTTCATAAGGTTTCTTATGAAACCTTTTTTATAGATCCACTTACTTATTTAGATCGATGTCTTTTCCCTGTTCGTGGGCTTCAATTAGTTGTTTAATAACATCTCCTATGGTCAGCATCATTAGCTCAGCAGGGCTGAGGTCTCCTGGAAAGATAATATTTAACAATGTAAAAAAATCCTATTATTCAGTAAAGGTGTTTTTATGTATTATCCCTTTTCCTTCCAAAATTATTCCAACCATGCCAAATAAATAGCTCAAGTTAACAAGACACTAAACCTCTGTTTACAGGATGATCATATCTTTGGTATCTCTATTTTAAAACAAATCTGGCTTCACCTATATATGGGAAGAGCTTGCTTTAGAAGCTCATACACCATGAGAATGATAGCGACAAACACGAGGAGAAAGAACCTAATTGCCCAGGAAAGGACCAAAGTAATTAAAATAACTTCCCTTTATCTCCAGATTTATAATTCTATTTACATGTCTTATTTCATCTGATTCTCAGAACACAGTGAGATAGAACAGGAATATTTGCCTGTCCCATGAAAATGCTATCAAGGGGTGAAGTTAAACGCAAACCTAGGTATCCTGCAGAAAGTAGAATTTACTTTGTAACAGAAAAGTCGTGGGTTTATACTAAGGATCTTAATGCGTCTCTAAGATTTAGTCTGTCCACCATCATCACCCTCTCATGGCAACTGAGGCTTCCCTTCTCATCTAAAAGGCAACAGCGGAAGCTGACATGTTCTTACATGACGCCATCCCTGCAACTACAGTTGACCAGCACCTACCCACGTCAGGCCAATGTGAGCTCTTCCCCTCAAGGCAAAAACACACAATCTCTCCAATGATAAAAACTATGAGATTGCAGCTTGGGAGCTGTTAGCAACCATGCTTCCTGTTCACACAGAAAGCTGGTGTTCCATGATAATAAAGTCACCAGGAAGAAGCATAGAAAGCCCGCAGTTATAGAGCCCTTTCATTTATTTTATCTCCTCTGAAACCTCACAATACTGTAAGGTAAGTATCGTTAGCTCACTTTACAGATGTGAAAAATTAAGGCAAGCTAAGATGCGATTGTAAATGGCAGAGTTAACTCAAATCCAGGTCTTTTCTCAACAACTTCCATGTTTTTTTCACTGTAACAAGTTGCCTCTAATTTAATGAGGCAAGGCTAACATGAACAAAACAATCTGCAACGGGAAAAAGTCCATCTAAAATCAAAGGCTAAATGCTTTCCAAACCTGTAACTCAGCACTTCAGAGTTCTAGAAAGGCACCTCATTTGCTGTGTAACAGAGGGAGGGCTGGTGGTGGAGGTAAAGGAAGGGGGAGAGGATGGAAAGGGAGAGTTCTTTCTCCATTTCAACCAAAGCAGCTCAGCTTTCACCTGTTTAATGCTAAGTTTCTGCATAAGAATTTGGAGGAAAAAGGAGGATTCAGGTGATAAAAATAGATAAAGATTGGAAACCCACCTGTATAGCCCTTGAGTGTATCAAGAATTAGCTGAAGAAGTAAATTAGGAAGAAAAGGCTTCATGGAGGAAAAGGCACAGGGGTCTTCAATGAAAGAGCAGGATTTGGACAAGCAAAACAGATGGCAATCCAGAAGGAACAATGTTAGGAGGAGGAATTCCCTATCCTTGTACGAAGGAGCATTGTCTAACCAGAACACAGGCTTTCTGATGGAGTAAGGTGTACCCTACTAGATTATAGGGCGCATTAGCTACTAGGCAAAGACATTTAAATGGAGTGCGATAATGGAGAATTATATAGTCTCAAGTTTGGGCGTAAAAATATGAAAGTAGTGTTTAAAGAAAGTTTACAAAAGGAAATGAGGATACAAAAAGTGATTCAGACGGTGAAAATACATAAAATCTGGGTAATATGGGGTGGAGCGGAGGTGGGCTAGAGTGGGGGAAAAAGGGGACATATGTAATACTTTCAACTATACACACACACACACACTTTTAATCTGGGTACTAGGTGAAAGGCTCTTAAAAGGCAACATTGTAAAAAAAAAAAAATAGAGAAAGAAGAAGAAAAACACAACACCCTCAAGATTTACAGTAAAAAACTTGGATGACAGCCTCCCTCCGCAGCTCTCAACCCCTACTGGCTGTGTGATAATGAGAAGATCAATAACTTCTAAGCTCCATTCCCTTACCTGCAAAATTGGGATAATACTAGTACATACACATCTCACAAGACCACTGTAAGGTTTAACTGAAATAATGTCTACAAAAGCCAAAGTACTATTCAAAAGTAGCTATTGATTAAGGTAGAGTTAAGAGGATGGTGGCCAGAATGATAAGGAATAAACTATTTCAAGAGGCATTTCTAAGAGCTGACAGGGTTTGGTGACAGATGAAGTTAAAGCTGCCCGTCTGACAGATTGAGGGACAACTTGGAGGAAGAAGATGACTAATTTGGGGCATGTAGGGCTGGATGCCAGACAACTGAAGGTAACTTGGACACCTGTTGCTCCAAAAAACTGCAGCTGATGTCAAGTAGCATAGTAACTAAAAACTGATTTTTAAAAAATGATTTTGGGTTCATAGAGACAGTCTGACCCACCAGTTCTAGTTCCTACGAATAATTTTGGGCTGGAAAGTCAGTTAACTCTTTGAATCGCTGCTTCGTTTGTGAAATGGGAGTGGTTATCAACTTCAAAAACGATTAGCAAAAAGCTCAATAAAAGGTAGTTATTATCATAAAACCTGTGAGAAAATACTTGAAATCTGATCCCATCCAGTGGAGAAACTAAAGATGGAATTGCTCCATGCTAACTCGGGAGGCAATAATACACATGGACATAACTGTCCCACGGATTCCAAGGAGAATTCGGGGTTGTTTTTAACTTACGGCTTGAAAAAGAAATCTAGAAGGAAAAAAGAAGAAAAAAAACCAACACGTGCAACGTGTCCTTTAAAGCCCTCAACAATTAAGGAATCCGAGCACGAGTTAAATCGACCGACCACGTTAACTACTTAGAAAACACACCTTGAAATAAAGTTTTTCCTGCCTTTTATGCAAAAGCCACCAACTGGCTGCCGAAGAGGGAAAGAGGGAGGGGAGGTCGGGTTCAAGGAGCACAATAGGTAAAGCGAAAAGGGAGGGGCGGGCGCCGACAGAAAGACCGACCCCCGCGGGGAGGACTCCGGGGTCCGGCAGCGGGTTCCCACGGGGAAGACCGGGCCCAGCATCTGACCGCGAAGGAGTCCGCCCTTCCCCGCCGCCTCTGCACCCTCGCCCCGGCCGCACCTTTCCGCTTCTGCCTCATCGCTCCGCCGTCGCCGCTGCAGCCGCCACGCTAATGTGGCTACCAGCTCGGAGCTCGGGGAAAGTTGACAGCCACAAAGCAGCCCCGCCTGTCGTAAAATGAAAGTCAATATATCGTAAAGCTGTTCCCAGACGGCGGTGCGCGCCAAGCCGGCCCCGCCCCTCGCGGAGCGCCTAGCGGAGCCGGGGAGGCGGGAAGCTTTGGCCCTGATGCTTGGGCATAAAAAGCTGGACTTGGGAAAGACTAACCAAAACCAAAACCAAAACCAAAACAATAATAATAATAATAATAATAATAATAATAATAATAATAATAATAATAATAATAATAATAATAATTCAATAAAAGCTGGACTTGGGAAAGACAAACCAAAACCAAAAATAATAATAATAATGATAATAATGAATCAATAATAGCTGGACTTGGGGAAGACTAACCAAAACCAATAATAATAATAATAATAATAATAATAATAATAATAATTCAATAAAAGCTGGACTTGGGAAAGACAAACCAAAACCAAAAATAATAATAATAATAATGATAATAATGAATCAATAATAGCTGGACTTGGGAAAGACTAACCAAAACCAAAACCAAAATAATAATAATAATAATAAATCAATAAAAGCTGGACTTGGGTGGTGCAGAGACAGGACGAAGCTTATGCATAGAGGCTGCGCCAGGAAGCCTAAAGGAGAGTGTGGATGTACTAGTAGGCGGCCTCTAAATAAGGGTCTGGAGGCTGGGCGGGCACATAGCATTGATAACCATCATGAAAACTATGGAGGTGTCTCCAGAAAATGCACGCATGCAGTGTTTGTAGTCTGAGATAAGTTTTCCTGAAACCCATCCATGATCTCCTTTATTCATGAACCAGAATGTAAGAACCTCTCTCCTTAACATACAGAGAGGAACGTGCGCTGTTTCCAGTTCCTTCCCACTAGAAGTGAGGTAACCCACCTTGTCAAGTTCTGTGTCTCCCCATCAGGTCAGTTCAGGAGTATTATCTGTCCTTATTGTCATCCTGGTACCAACGGACATAGCTCCTGGAGAAGTCTTTCATGATAGGACTCTCCATGCTTTCTCGGTTTTTCTTCGTGTTTTGTTTTTTTCCCCAGTCTCTTTGGTGAATTCCTCTACTTCACCTCAAAATATTGGTGCACCAGTGCCAGGGGCCACTCCTTAGCCTTCTCTCTCACAAAGTGATCCCCAGAGCATCATAGCTTTAAATACCATCTACTTCCAGCAGCTGGAAGTCCAGTCCCAGCTTCTTCTCTGACATCGTATTAGAACCTGGTGTCTAAAATGCATCTCAAACCTAACATGCCTGAAACAGAATTCTATTTTACTCCAAATCTGCTTTCTCTATGCTTCCTTATCAGGACTTAGAAGAACTTTAATATCATAATCTGTGGATCAACATTTGTATTTCTGCAGTTTGCACTCTGAGGCTGCTTGCAGAGCACGACTCTGCTCCCTGGACTTGGGAACTGCCTGCAGAAAGAACAGTCCATGCTGTTTGACTTCTGTTGATGAGTAACCCAAACGCTTTTGTTCTACAAGCCTGATGTTAATAAATGCCTAATCATGGGTTACCCACTGTACTTTTTTTAAAAGTATATTTTTATTGATATCAGAGAGGAAGAAAGAGATAGAAGCATCAATGATGAGAAAGAGTCATTGATCAGCTGCCTCCTGCGCTCCCCACACTGGGGATCAAGTCTGCAACTTGGGCATGTGCCCTGACTAGGTGGGAATAGAACAGTGACCTCCTGGTTCATAGGTCAACACTCCATCACTGGGCCTTGTAGCACAGCCCCACCTGCTGACCATTGAGTAAGCTGATGGTTAAAAAGTCCAGTTGTCCCCACCAATCAGAAAATGAATAATGCAAGTTTGTTGCCTTGTTTCCCCTAGCAACCCATCTCTTCGATCATTAGCTCCTTTCAACATTTGCCTTTAAAATCCTAAACTTATTCCCTCCATTTTGTAAGATGTCTTCAGTTCATACCAGGGGTTACATCCCTGACTTGCAAATCATATATGAATAAAACTCTTTTAAATTTCTTTTGGAATTATCATGGGCCCCATATGGCATCACTTTTGCCCAAGCCCATGACATCAAACCAAGATTTAATGCCTGACCTAATTGCTGTTTCAACTTTTCCTATAAATATAGTCTTAATCAACTAGTCTGGAATATTCTTGTCAAGCACCAGTAAGGTAATCTATTACATGGGCACTCTCCATCCCCCATAGAAAGAAGAGGCAATCTGCATAATAAAAACCTTGCCAGCTTTACATTCCAGAATGAAAATTAAAAACAGCCCTGGCCAAGTCACTCAATTGGTTGAAGCATTTTCCTGATCGGCCAATGTTGCTGGTCTGACCCCTGGTCAGGGCACAGACAAGAATCAACCAGTGGGTGCATAAATGAATGGAACAACAAATCCATGTCTCTCTCTCTCTCTCTCTCTCTCTTTCCAATAAATAATAATTAAAACACAAAACAACCTTGCCATTCCCTTCCCCCCAATTGTAGAGGTCCTGGTCTAAAAATAATATTTTTTGGTAATAGGCCTCTTTCCCTACCCTTCTTCTTATAAAAACCTTCCATTTTGTACAACTCCTGTGAGAGGCCTTCTAATTCAGCGGTTCTCAACCTGTGGGTCGCGACCCCTTTGATGGTCGAACGACCCTTTCCCAGGGGTCGCCTAAGACCATCCTGCATATCAGATATTTACATTACGATTCATAACAGTAGCAACATTACAGTTATGAAGTAGCAACGAAAATAATTTTATGGTTGGGTCACAACATGAGGAACTGTATTTAAAGGGCCAGAAGGTTGAGAACCACTGTTGAGAAGCTGCTTGATTCATGAATCACTTAATAAAGCCAATTAGATAAAATTTGCTTGGTTGAATTTTGTTTTTTTAACATCATCTACCACATCACTCTTTTACTTCACACAGGAGCAAAAGGGGGGTGGGTAGTATGGCTGTAAATTTTAAATAGGGGTTAGGGCAAGCCTTATCAAGACTGTGATATTTGAGCTAATACTTGATATGCAGATATCTAGGGGAAGAGTTTCAGGTAGAAGGAACATTTAGCACAGCAGTCCTACAGTAAGAGGGTTTCTGGTGTGTTCAGTTAAAGCAAGGAGGCCAGTGTCAAAGGAGCAGTGAGTGGAGAAAAGTGTGATAGAGGTAAGGAAGAGTGCAGATAGGGAATAGATAAAATTGAGTCACATTAACCAAGCTGCTAACATTACTTACATTATGAAGGTTGAGGCATGAGGAAAGACTCCACCCTTGTTCTAACTAGCCTGGGAACTTAAACTTTTTTGAACCTTTTAGTCCTGCATCAATGCCTACATATACATCAAGACCTCCTGGTAACCCTCTAATTACCCCCTGAAGGACTCATGTGTCCAGGCCATCTGATTGCTCTACTGAAGGACTTTCATATATATCCACCTGACATCCATTATTCAGACCATGGGATGTGACCAGACCTCCAGGCGCCCATCTTCCAGACCACCTGGCATCCATCATCCTGATTACCTGATGTCTGACTCATAACTGACCTGGACCAATCCTGGGCTAAGATTGCAGGACCAACAATACTAAACAATGTACTTTTTGCTATAAGAACTTTTAACTTTTCTTTGGATTTTTTTTATCCTCGTTTGTTTGTTTGTTGATGATGTTGCTTTGCCTAGCTGTGTTTCTAGTTTGCAAACTTTAAGACCCTTGAATAAATCTCTATTATTTATTTATTGCAAAGCCTCAGACTTTCTGAGTTCGTTTGATAGAGGTCAGAGAAGTGATGGGATGGGGTGGGGTGGGGCAAGTGCAGTTTGTATAAGGCCTTGTATGCCATTGCAAAACCTTTGGCTTTTACTCAGGTGACATGAGGAATGATTGGAGTTTTAGCAGAGATATGGTATGATTTATAATTTAAAGTATCTATTTGCTGTGTTGAGAATAGACTGTGGTGGAAGGGTATGGTAGAGCCTGGGAGGTCAGCTAGATTGCTATTATCATACCAATGCAGGTGATCCCCAAACCTTGATGAACATTAGAATCACCTGAAGAGTAGTGACAACTCCCAGTTCTCAGGCCATATTCCATACCAATTAAATCAAAATATCAAGGGTGAGAGCCAGCCATCAGTATTTTTTAAAGATCCTTGGTTGATTCCAGTGTGCAGCAAACTTTGGGAACCACCTAGCCAGGCCAGAGGTGATTATGATTTGAATCATTATAGTAAGTAGTGAAGGTGGTGAGAAGTATTCAGATTCTGAATATATTTTGAAGATTTCAACAAGACTTCCTGGCAGATCAGATGTGGGATGCGAGAGAAAGACACACATCAACATCAAGGATGACACCGAAGCTTTTGGACCAAGGGACTGGAACCATGTTGCTGTTGGCTGAAATGATGAGGGGATGATGAGGGGCCAGTGTGTTTGGACATGTGTTTGGGAGCCTAGTGAGAAGCAAGACATGAAAAAGGTTGGAGCCGGAGATACCAGTTGAGAGTCAGAGGTGAAGTTTAAACCTATAAAACAGGGTGAATGTGGAAAAAAAAAGAGAAGAGACCAAGGACGAAGCTTTGGGGCAATCTATTATTATTAGATGGAAGAGAAGAGGAGTAACCAGCAGAGAAGGCTGAGGAGGCGCCTCCGGGGAGGTGGGAAGAAAACTGTAAGTGTGTGGTAACCCGGAAGCCAAGTGAAGAAACTGTCGTAAGGAGGAGGGAGGGATCCACTGGGTCAAATGCAATTGATGGGTCAAGTAAGGTAAGAGTCGGCTAGGACCATTGGGGACTTGAAGAACAGCTTCATGGGATGGTAGAAGTGAAGACTTGGCTGGAGTGGGTTTATGATAGAAGAGGTTTTGAGACAGTGGGTTCAGACAATTCTTTGGAAGGGTTTTGCCATGAAGAACTACAGAGAAATGAAGTAGTGGCTGGCAGAGAAACATGGGTCAAAGGGAGTGGGACCCTAGGAGAGTAGCTCAATTGGTTAGAGCAGTGGTCGGCAAACTGTGGCTCGTGAACCACATGCGGCTCTT